CTTTCTAAGAAAGTCAGAAAACTGAGAAGCCATTATATTGACTGATAAACTTGATGTATTAAAAAGGAAAAGACCCTGGTGGCGCAGCAGTTGAGCGTTGGGCTGTGAGGCTGCCCGCAGCCTCTGCAGCGCCGGTTTGTTCCCCCGCTGCTAGCGAGGGTCCCACAAAAAAAAAAAAAAAAGGAAAGAAAAGACTCAAAAATGAACTGAAGAAAAACTTGCATAAGGCAAAGAACAGGAAAATTTTTTGCTTCTTATCACAAAGGAACTAACTTACTTCATAAAGAACTCCTGGAAATCTAGAAGAAAAAGTCCCAAAACCCAGTCGAAAAATGGACAAAAGATACAGTATACAGAAAGGGAAATAATAGTTTTTAAAAAAAGGTATATGAGAAGACGCTTAACTCCATTATGAGAGAAATGTACATTACAGCTACACCACGGTACCATTTGTCAGTCGTAGATGGGTGGAGATTAAACAGTTTGTAACCTACTTTGTAGATTGTATGTGTGCAAAACAATAGTCTCGTTGATGGGAAATTGGGCAAAATATTTATTTGTTTATTTATTTGTTCTTTAGGCGCTTTAGCTCTAGAAATTTATTCTATATAAAAATACATGCATGTGCACTGGAAATGTATCTTGTGTATACATACATTTTAGATGCGGCGGCAAATAACTTATGAACAAGGATGTTCACTGTAGAGGTCTTTATAATGGCTTAAGATCTGAAACAACCCAGATGTTCATTCATGGGAGAATGATAAATACATTATATTATAGCAATACATTAAAAAAACCATTCCGTCATAAAAGATACCAGTGAATCTCCTCATGCATCAATTTGGAAACATTGCCAATATATGTTGTGTGTTGAAAAGGCAAGGTACAGAACAGTGGATATATCTTTTACTAAAAATACATTCAATATCTTGCTTTTTTATGACTAGATATAGACTCTGGGAGTGTAATCCACATTTGAGAACGCTCCACTCCCTTCTCCAAAAAACGTTTTGTGGACCCTCACAGTGCCTTGCACTTGGCACTCACTGCATGTTGGGGTGGTTGTTAGTTTTACTGGATTCACAGGCTTCCTTTATCTCAGGAGATAATATTTAATATTTGGGTCAGAAGAGCAAGCCCCTCTCACTCTGAAAGCTGCTTTAAGGGACAGCACATTCACGTTATTCATTACAAATGCTCCATGTGCACCCTGAATTCTATTTTTTGGAGGGTGTCAGGACCAGCTCTGTAAAGCAAAGATGACAACAAGACTGGGAAACATTGCCTTAAACAAAACCAAGAAGGCCTCTTTCCTCTGGGCTTTCTTAGCACCCTGACACACATAATATGCTTTGTGAATATTCAAGATATTTAGGATGTAGCCTTTTCCGAATTTGTTTTGAATACAACACCAGGACAGCTATTTTTTTTCCTTTAAGAAATGTAAGTAGTGGTCACATTGGAAATATTGCTTTAATGCTTGGATTTTGGTTTTGTTCACTTTCAGAATTCATTTCAGCAAGTCAGTATTGATTATTTCTAAGATACCCCTAATTTCTCTCTCCACCTGCTTTTCTTCCTCTGTGATGTGATGTAACCCATTCCCTTGTTTCATGCTTGAGACCCTTCCCAAATCATTAAGAACATTCTGTATAATTAATGTAGAATCTCTGGGAAACTGAAAATTAAAGTTTCATCTGATATACCTTTTCCCAGCACTTAAGAAATTTGGTGTTGAGGGGAAGGGAGGAAATCAACTTCATAGGTAGTAGGTGAGAAATTGTGAGCTTACTGTGGAGAAGAAGGTGTGCTCTGGAGTTAGCAGGCAAGGGATCTACCTTTGTCTTCACCACTCACCATTTGCTTAATATTGAACAGGTCACTTAGCTTCCCTGTTCTTCCGTTTTATCACCTGTAAAATTCAGGGATTCGATTTAGGTCCATTCTTTTAAAGACTGCAAGTGTCATAAATGTGCTTAGCGAAATCAGCCGAGACGGGGCACCTATGCAGACTATTTTGTTACTCTGCAAATTTCCACATGTGAATATAACCTGTCTCCATTCAGCTTTTTTGGAGAAAGAAATTATTCAATAATTAGCTCTTAGTCAACTCCATGTATTTGAAAATTTGTTGAATTGTTTGAGACTGCTGTCTTTACTGATTGATTGGTTAATTATCCTCTGGGAAAGCATTTGATTATAATACATAAATAAATCCACACCTCCTGTATAAACGTGCCCCCCCCCGCATTTGTTTCACTGGTGCAGGGAGGAATCCATGAAGTGATATTAATTATCCCATCTCCCCCCAGTGTTGGTTTGGTGGCTTTGCTGAGCTTTTTGTGCACTCCCTCCCTATTAGTAGATCTCTGAATTCAGCACCATAGAGGTCTAAATTCATTGAATTTATGCCATCTGGAAATGAGCTTTAAATTTTGTTCCTCAGTTGAAAATAGGGATGTGACATAGCTATTACACAGAAAGATTGTAAGCTTGAATTTGATTTTATTGTGTGGCAGCAGAATGTTTTTGTTAGAAAGAAAGCACTTGCCTGGGGAGAGGTTTGAGTGTGACTGAATTGTTAACTGCCAACTTCTTCCCTTTTTAGCAGGACACATATTTTGTTTTTAAATGAGATGACAACCAAGAGAATTATCAAGACCCAGTGAATTTTAAGAGAGTCCTTTCCATTTCCTTGAGTCCCACTTAACCTTGTGTTCGATATCATTCTCTGCATTGCTGTCAAAGGACTCGGCTCCTTTGAAGTCTCGAAGCGTTGCTGCTGGCTGGATCATGATGGTAAAATATAGGGGAGATGTGCAGTAAAGCCCTTCCTGGTACACAGCAATGCCTTATTACCTAAGTAAAAGCATAGATGTGTGAGTGCCTAAAAATGTAACTGTGAGAGGAGATATATGATAATGGACACTAAGCTGGGAGAAGTATTTCTCATGAATTAGAGATGCCCTTTCATAATTCAAGAGTCACAGAATGAGGAAAGGCTTGAAATCACCTGAAAAGCATCTGGAAGCAATCTGTAATTCTTAAGAGGCAGTAGAAGAGCCTGTATCTCTCCCATACATAATGATAAACCTGTTCATGTGGGATTATGGGGAGAAGGCAGAATTCTGTTACTTGTAAAACCTCTTGCGATTAGATGCCCAGAGATTTGATTATGAATTTTACTGCAGAAGTCCCAGGTGCTTAATAAATGATTGATTAGTGTGAAGAAGGCAAATCTGAAGGAATTTTAATGCGAAGAATGTGTTTATTTGCATGCACAACATTACTTTTCCTGGCCATGCTCACCCTACATGTGCTGTCACTGCAGCTGCTGTGCCCAGTTTTGAAGATTTAAGTCACATGGAGCCCCTCTCTCATTTTTTTCCCTTTCTCAAAACATTTCCCTTGCTCGAAACATTTCTCGATACAGGTATTACATTCTAAGCCTTTGAGACTTCTCTGTGTCAAACACACACAAAACCTCTTACAGTGAATTCAAGGAAACCATCTTTTAAAATATTAGACTGCTTGGAAAAATATGAGGACTCGTTCCTTGGGATTTGAGAAACCCTTGTTATATAGAAAATTTGAAAAGACGATTGTTGTACTATACTGAGTTGAATTGGTCACCGTAATCCATTTAAGATGGGGAAATATTTCACCTTAAGTATATCAGAACAAATTGCATCTTGTTTCTTGCTTTTACATAAGTAGTTGTGATCATAAGTAATTGTAATCTTGTATCCTCTTTATATTATAGGTGGCATTTTCCCATTTTATGAAAACTGGTAAAATTCTGCGCTGGCCTGCAAAATTGTGGTTAAATAAGTTACGCGGTTGTGTCAAATTTACTTAACGGTTTCCTTGTTAATGGGCATCTAAATGGTTTCCATGCTTTTAATTTAAGTATAGTATTTATTGTCTTCTAAAAAAATGCTCTTTCTTAGAAATTTTCTTTAGCTTCCACCAATTTTTGTCCTGAACAGTGGCTTCTTGTGGCTTTGTTTAGCATTTGCATTAGCTCCTGCCTTTTGAACCTCCAAGTGTTTGGCGTTAATCTCTTTGCATTGTCCTTCTGGACCCCTTTAGGTGTTCTCTGTATTTCCATCAGGTAGGATAATTTCCCACCCTTCTTCAAACTCATCTTGTTCTGGTTGTACAGTAGCGATTCAGGTATGCATCTGTGTCATGAAACTTGGCTCCCCACACAGGCCTGGTGATATAAAGATGTGCATCTAGGGCCAAAGTAAACTTTGCTCATCAATGCAAACAACTGCCCTTGCAGATGTGCAGATAGATCAGAAAGTACAAGGGAATATTTTGGGAGTATTGGAATATTTTTTTCTTTTAAAAAGATTTATTTATTTATGCATACAAAAGCTGGGGTGCAGGCCAGAAATGCGGGGGTGAGAGGATTCACCAGAGACAGAATTGGGAGCAGAACAGGCAGATCCACTGAAATATACTGCTGAGGGGAGTGGCGGGTGAGACAGGAGAGGTCTGCTGTCCCATGTGGGTCACCTCCCTGGCCGGGCATGGAAGTCACGCTGCAATGGCTGCGGATAGCTTCACAGTGCTGCTGTGAAGCTTGTGCCACCAGCGAGGCCCCAGTATTACCCGTTTTAAAAAAGTTGTTTATAAAGGTTATTTGTGGTCTACTCTTTGCTGTTGGGTATTTTGTTATCCTTAAAAGGACGCTGCTGCTTCATGGATGTCAATTTATTCAGTTTCCATTTCTTAAAAGAGCAAAGAATCTTTCTCTACTTCCTGCTACCCGGTGGGAGTCTCATTTTGGACTAGCCTTCCTATTTCTAAAGAAAGATTTACTGTTTACTTATAATTTTTTAAATGGTAAGTGCAGTCTGAGGAGAATCCTCCCACTGCACAGCAAATGGTGGCCAGAGGTGCAGGAGAGGGTAGAAAAGCTAGAGAAACTTTGATCAGCTTTTTGCAGCTTATTAATGATTGTGGGACATTTTGAATTTCTTTTATAGATTTTGAAAGTCTTTGGGAGTTCCAGCCGTGCCAAGTGTTGGAGAAATCTTTCCTGCTCCTCTGACAGAGTGAAAATAGCAAACACAACCCAGCGGTAGGCTGCTGAAGCACGTCGTCAGAGGTAATGGGATCTTTTCTTATTAATATCAGTACGTGTTCAGTAATATACTTTAAAAAAGAACCTACTTGGAATTACAGCCAAGGAACATTATCTCGTTCAAAACAGTTATGTTCTATCCTTTACTTAAAAGATTTAAAACATTTTATTTTGGAGGGAAACCACATCTTGGCCCTGTGAGAGTAAGTTTGGGAGGTTTCTAAAGTCATCTAGGGTGATGAATATGGGGAACTCTTGTTTTGATCAGAAACCCAAGGATCAATAACATAATGAAACCAGTTTTTCCTTGTGAATGAATTTCTTGCAGATTCATACAGTGTTGAAAATTAATTGTAAGAGATGACTCTAAATTTCAATTAATGGTAGTAATATTGTTAAAATAAATGATTAGGCTTCATAGCTTAGAGAAGTATATACTATTTTTTTTTAGCTGTAAATGTGGGTATTCTTTCTTTTAAAACCAACCAATCAGTCAACCTTGTCAGTATTACAGAAAGGATTCATGTCCTAATCTGGTTAAATAAGATGAGCTCTAAATTTCCTTAGGAGTTATACCTGTAAGACTTTGTAATACACATCGTACTGTGTATATTGTTTTATATTTTATATTGTTTTATATTGTTTCTCAAAATGTACGAGTCCTTGTTAAAAATTCAAATTACTCAGTTCCAATCTGGTGTGTCCAGATCAGAATCAGTATCAGAATATAGGGGGCTGGGTTGGGAGTCTGCGTTATACAAGTTAGTATCACCAAAGATTGATGTGCCTAAGGCAATAAAATCATAACTTTGCCTCATTTTTGTATGGCTTGATTAAAAGTTAGTTGTTTCCCTGATTTTTGCTTTGAATAAACAATGCAGATATTTTTAGTGTACTGTTTGGACACAGGGATATGTTTGTAAGTAGCTTATTTTTAGATCAAATTGCGAATGTAATTGAATAAAACTATACTTTGAGTTTACATCTATTTATATTAAATTCAAAATTTAATTTTTTTCCTTGGATGCAACTGAGTGAACCTGTGTTTGACATCTAGGTGCTAAATACTCAATTTTATGAAATATCTGTTTCAGATAAAGACATAACTATATGTACATATCTGTCATATCTATCAGTCTGTCTTTCTGGATATAGACATTCAGCATTTTGTTTATTCATTCATTCATTGGTGAGTATTTAGGCCGCAATTATGCTTTGACTATTGTGTATAATGCTGCTGTGTACATGGATGTACAAATACCTGTTTGAATTCCTGCTTTCATTTGCTGGGTTTATGTCTAAGAGTTGAATTGCTGGAAAATATGGTAATTTTATTTTGAAGATCTGCCTATTTGTTTCTCATAGCAATTATGCCATTTTACATTCCCATCAGTAGTCAAAGAGTTCAGTTTCCCCACATCCTGGCCAGCACTGGATTTTTTTTTCTTTTTTTTTCTGGTAGTACCATCCCGAAGGAGGTAAGGTGATGTCTCAGTGTGGTTTTGATTTGCATTTTCTCATGATTAGTGATGTTAAACATCTTTTTATGGGCTTTTTGGCCATTTGTATATCATCTTTGAAGAAATATCTAGTCAAGTCCTTTGCCCATTTTTAAATCAAGTCATTTGTCTTTTGGATGTTGAATTTGTAGGAGTTACTTATATATTCTGGATATCAATCCTTTAATAGATATATAATTTGCAAATATTTTGTCCCATTTTTAGTTTGCCCTTTCACTTTGTTGATTATGTCCTTTGATGTACAAGAGTTTAATTTTGATGTAGTTCAATTTGTTTTCATTTTTGTTGCCTGTGATTTGGGTGACATATCCAAGACATCATTGCTGAATTCAGTGTCATGAAACTTCTTCTATGTTTTCCTCTTAAGAATTTCATACTTTTAACTCTTAAGCTTAGGTCTTAAATCCATCTTGAGTTAATTTTTGTATAAGGTGTAGAGAAAGGCTCCAACTTTATCCTTTGCATGTGGATATTCAGTGTTTCCAACACTATTTACTGAAGAGAAGTTTCTACTTTTAAAGATCAAAGTTTAGGATGAGAAAAAGAAAAGAAGATAATCATAAATGACTGCTGTATCTCTGTAGGAATTCTCATAAAGTCCTGTTTCTAATTAAGAAGAAACTTAGGAAACAAAAGGTATTACACAGAGTTGAAGCTCATCTTAACCTAAGATAATCATTGTGGGTAGGCACAGAGGGTCTGTTTAAGTTGTATGTTAGCTCTTTGGTGGGCAGTGACTTCTTATGTTTGAACTTTGGTTATGGTGAACTCTGAGTTTGACTTTTGATCCCAGGCAGGGTGTGTTTGTGTGTGCCTGCGTGTGTGTGCCTGTGTCGTGTTGCAGGCCTTTCCCCAGCAAATGCCAACCAATGGGAGATCCTGTGATGTTTTAGGGAGCTTTGGTTTTAAGGCCATAAGCAAAATGCACATTCTCATGGTATAAAATAGCCAGTAACAAAAGCTGGGAACCATTCATCTGTCTGTAGCAGAAGTTACTTGAAACCTCCTTTTGCCTCTAAGAAGCAGCATGTTTGTTGACAGAATGATATTTACACTGGTTTTGAAAAGGTCAAAATAAAGTATTGTGTCCTTCAAAGTGAGTTGTTTTGGGGAGGTGTTGGCTGTGGGGTGGGGAGAATACAGAAAGAAAAATATGTGACTAAGAAGAGGGCCTGGACAAGGATACTTGGAAGGGGAGAGGGAGCAGCTTAGATGGGCATAGAAGTAACCTGGATAATGAAGGGATCTAATATCCTCTTCAGAGGAGATGATAACAGATAGTAAAGGTGGCACAGCAAGAACCACAAGTGGAAAATGGGCTTGAAAGGGTTGAAGCAGTATGATGTAAAATGTGTATGATAGTCCCGAGTGGATGCTGTCTGTGGAATTTGTCTGTTACGGATTTTGGATGTGTTCTCAGAACAGTGAGACAAATAGCAGGTAGACAGAGGTGATTATGGATATTCTGAGCTGTCGCAAGAATTATATTTGAATATAGTATTTCGGGGTTAAGAGCTCTCTGCATGAGCAAAGAGAGGCACTTACAGCAGCATTAGGGTGCTGTCCTTTCTGATGCAGAGCTGGGAATGTCTGGGTCCTGCAGAAGTGGGGTGGTGAGGAGGAAGGGCTGTTTCTCTGTGGCTGCCCTGGCTTTCTTTGGAAGTAGCGGGAAGCTATTTTCAAAAGTGGTTTTGAATACACATGTAGCCTCCACTCAGAAGTTGCCTGAAAATGACTTCTTACAACAATCAAACCAGCTGTGAAATGCCATCACTCTGAAACCTGTTTATTCTGCACTTAACTTTTCATAATTTTATACATTTTAAAATCATCATCTGTCCCTACCTTCCTTAGTCAAAAAAGACTTATTCAATCATTTTTGTGTATTCCCCTATTCCATGACCTGCATAATTTGTTGTGGCTTAGTTTATTTTATTTTTTTAAAGATTTATTTTATTTATTTATACAAGCACTGGGTACAGTCAGAAGCGCGGGAGGGTGAGAGAATTCACCAGAGCCAGAGCGGGGAACAGAACAGGGGAACAGATCAACAAAATACACTGCTGAGGGGAGCAGCGGACACAGCAGGAGAGGTCTGTCGCGCCATGTGGGACCCTTGCCGGTGGCCAGGGATCGAACTGGCGCTGCAGAGGCTGATGGCAGCCTCGCAGCCAGCGCTCAACCGCTGCACCACCAGGGGAGGCCCTGTTGTGGCTTATTTTAGATCCCTTCCAACTCTGTAGGTCTCTTCCAGATGACCAGAATGGCTCAGAATAAATGGATATGCTCTGCGTTTGGCCATGGTTCCCACGTCATTTTCAACTTTGTTGTTGAAGTGCCCTGTCTTTGGTTGGCCTTTCTGGGAGCAGGGCCACCTTAAAGTGAAGTATTCAGAGAAAAGTCTTACAGCTTGTCCAGACTGAGGTTCTGAAGGGTTTCAGAGGGACAGTCCTAGCCACTGATGGACCCATGTTAGAAATGTAGATTCTTAGACTGGATCAGAAATTCTGAAGGTAGAGCTGTGAAACAGAGATTCATGTTAAAGTGAGACTACTGTATGATCTGATGCTCACAAAGCTTGACACCCACGCAGTTGTCCTCCAGCCCTCCACCTTCTGCTCAGATAGATCAGGGATTCTCACATACTGGGATGTGCTCGAATCATCTGGTGAGCATGTTCAAACACTTTCAAAAAGCAGTGAGTATTTCCTGACCTCCTGTCATGAAATTCTGATTCAGTAGGTCTTGGATGACTTGGTTTTCTGTATTTCAGCAAGTGCTTCAAGACATTCTTGTATCTGTGATCTGGACCAAGGGATGTCTCCGAATTTCCTGCCAGCCCCAAAGTGATGTGGTTTAAAATGGCTTTGTTGGGTTCAGTAACTGAAAGCTTGGGGCCAGAAGTTTATTTGCAAAATGCAGTTTGGACTCTGTCACTGAAACCATTATGTTCTCATTTCTTTCCTTGAAAAGTATGATTCTTTCTTGCCTACTTAGATTACTACATGAGATTTTTCTGAGTCTGTCCTCATTAGCAAGCCAGTTCACTTACTAGGAGTCGTCTTATGATTCTTACAGCATTGGAGCTTTCATTATGGAGTCCTTTTGGAGATTTATAAAAGGTATTAACTAACATACTATAAACAAGGGTTCCTGGAGATCAATTTTGATTGAGATACCATTTTGTCCCTTCTCTATATTTCCAATCTCTAAGCTTGTTCCCTGTGCATGACACTATGTTTCCCTTTGCTCATTTTCATTCACATTTTTGCAAACTTTCTTTAACTTTTATGGTACAACCTTCTGAGAATTATTTTTGAGGAGTCTTCCTCTTGCTTCCTGGTGTAAGTGACTTTCCAAAGGTCACAAAACTATTAATTGGTGAAGAGGGAATTCCAGAATGTGTAAATCTTAATTATTATACTTCACTGATTCCTTTCTCAGTGGCCGAGCTAGAAATCTCAGTTCACCTTTTCCTCTCTCCCCTACCTATCTGGTCAGTTC